GTCACTAAGACCCAATAAGCATATGATGAATGTATCAGGCCCAATAAGCATGTAAATGGACCACGAAGGCCCAATAACATGAAAATGGGTAAACAAGACCCAATGAAAGTGAGAATGACGTAATTAACCCGTTTGTTATTATATTGCTTGTTTTAGCTCAATTATTTACCAAAATGACATAAAAGGCCCACTTCTTGTAAAAATGACATTCTTGGCCCACTAAGCCGAAAATTTACAATTAAGACACATTTTTGGTAAAAATGACACTTTATGCCCATTGAGACCGAAAGTTTACTTTTAAGGGCTCATTTTGTATAAAATGACATTTTTAACCCACTCTTTGATAGGAATAACATTTTTGGCTCAAATTTTATGGAAATGACATTTTCAGCCCATTTAATCGAAAATTTACATTTTTGGCCCATGTTTGTTTAAAATAACAATTTAATCCATAAAAAGTCAATAATTTACCTGTTTAGGCCCATGAAACTGTGAGTTGCTAAATAAGACCCATTTTTGTGAAAATGTACATATTTAGCCCATTAAAAACCGTAAAGGCCCAAATATAAGCCCATTTGTGAAAATTAACACTTTTGGGCCCTTTTAAAATCCATGAATATCATAAAGACCCATTTTTATTTAAAAATGACTCTTTTGGTCCTTTCCAAAACCGTGAATTAACCATAGGGGCCTCACTTTTGTTTATTTTGTCAAATATGGCCCCTTTATGCGATTTTATTTAATTTTCATACATTTTTAGCATGTTTAGTTCTTTCCATTTCATAGTAAGTCACATAAGATGGTTTAGTTTTCAAACATCACCAAGTATGGTAGACATTTCGAGTTTAGTAGAGATCTAGCATGTTTTCATCATATAATCACTACATATAACATGGAAACACACATATACATGCATAAATACATAGATCTAACACAAAGCAACTTGTATCCTCCCCCAAAACATAATAAAAACCGAAAACAAGGGGGTATGAACTCACCTTGGTTGATGGATCGGTTTTGGTGAGAAGATTGAAGGAGATTTCGGCCTAGCTTGCTTCTTGAGAGGAGTTTTCAAACATAAGGAGTTCTAAGGAACAAGAGTCACGAAATGGAGTGCTTATGAGTGAAAGATTCATCATAAAAATGAAGTTAAACATCTTGAATAGGAAGTAACTTACCAAGATTGAATGAGCTTTGGTGAAAACTTGTTGAAAATTTACACCACCTCACGATTTTTCTTGAAGGAAAATGGAGGAATCCTTGAAGATTTGGAGAGAAGTTTAGAAATGAATTCAAGTGTGAAATGGAGAGCGGAGGCCGAGAATAAGAAGAGAAGAGAGAGAAGGTGGTGTGGTTTTTGCATGGCGGTCTTTAGTTGATGCATGGAGACATGTGAGATTATGACATTGTTATTTGGTGGTTTATAATGAAGTGTCACTCTAATTACCGCATATTTGAGTTTTTTTTTTTTTTTTTTTTTTTTTTTGTATGCGGGCCGAGAATTGGAGAGAATATGAAAGAAATTTGGATGTTGGGCTAGTATTGAATATCAACCGAAATTATAAGGCCCAATATGGAAGTTTTCGGCCCATTAGACTCATATTTGAGTTTGCGGACCAAATGAGGCAAAGATATGGGTTTTTCGACCCATATATTTAAAGAAGGTGGTTTTAGGCCCAATAAGGCCCATGAAGAGTCTTATGGACCAAAATTCTATAGTGTAATGAACGTGGGTCCAACTAGGGCCCAAATGAGGATTCTTAGCCCAAAAGAATTAAGTTGTGAGTTTATTGGCCCATTAGGCCCAATAAATGATTCCTGGCCCAATAATATGTTTGAATCGGGAAGTTAGGGTTACAAACCCAAAGTCGAGTGAATATAGTATATTGAATTAGGTTTAGGGCTTCACGAGTGAGTTTTGATTCGAAGAGTTGTTTTTGAATAAGTAATATGTATAACATCAACCTTGGAGTTACAAGATACACCAAGAGTTGATCACACGTAGACAAAATTTCCTAGCCCAAAAATGCTAGTTGTGACACCGTAGATACAATAACCACCAGAAACCCTCTTGACTGCCACCATTGACCACCACCTCTTTTCCCTTCATATGTTCACATTGGAAATAACATCACCACCAAAAATGTGGGCCACCGTAGGAAATAGCTTCACCACCGCTGTTCTCTCTTTGATCTCCCCCGATCTTCGCCTGAAACCTTAGGTCCGTTATCACTACTTGAAAACCCTAGCCGCCTGTAACAACAAAAAATCTATTCTTCCCCCGTTCTTCTTTCCGGCGGTCCTTAAGCCTATAGACTCAACTACCCTCATCTTTCTCTTCTGTTCTCTATTTGGTAACAACACTACTACCCTTAGATATGGGTTCTAGTTTCAGAGATGGTGGACGTGGCTATGGAGATTGATGTTGATTGTTAGGTTTGAGTTCTCCATCATTGAGTTCTAGAAAATTATCCATGGAAGAAGGATCCTCAATATCATCTGCAACGATAGCTTCTTCCCCGTTCTCAAACTAAAAAGCCAAATAAAGAAAGCGATGAGAATGTTGGTGATTTTGTATCATCAATGTGTATTTAAGTGTAATGGATTGACTTGTTGACCAAAATTCAATATTGATGAATATTAAACAAGTAAGGAAGGTGCGGAGTGCACACTTATTCAGAGGCAGAGCATCTTTAGGGACAAGAGGGGCTTCCCCCCCTGATTTTTTTCTTAGTAGTAGTTATAACCCAATAAATTTTACACAAATTAGGCCCAAAAATTAAAAGTTTGGCCTGCCCCTACTCTCCGATAATTGAACCAAAGTCATTGACCATCTAACCCTCGCAGTCGCTTCCTCCTTTGTTGTTCGCTGGAGCACCTGTCCACCTCGGCACCTCCCAATCGACAATCTGTAATCACCGCTGACAGCTCCACTTCTTACATCCTCACTGGAATCGATCATGTATGTTCGTTGTTCTCTCCTTTTCTATCTTCTCTCTTCTCCATCGGGCCATCATCCTTATTCCATCAGCACCATGTGTTATACGAGCAACTAGAGAGAGAAAAGAAAAGAAAGAATAAAGAATAGGTATGATAGTCTGAATATGAGATGGGCGGAAAAAGGAAAGCAAGTGGGATTTAAGAATGACAGTTTCAAAAGAAGAAAAAAAGGATTTTGATGATAGTTGAAGTTATCCTTCGGGGAAGGCAAAGAGTCCCAATTCCTAAATGTATTGAAAATTATTATTTCATTTTGAAATATGTTATGCAATTATATATTGATTTTTTTAAAATCCAGAAACAAAGACCATTACTAATTGTTGTTGAAGATGTGGATAGTGAATCATTGGCTACCTTGATTATAAACAAGCTTCGTGTTGGCATTAAGGTTTTTATTGTTTTTAAAACAAATTTTGTTCTTTGTTTATGAAACTAACCGTTTTTTTTAAATAGGTTTGTGCCATTAAAGCTCATAGATTTGGTTAGAACAAGATCTTGCCACTTTCACTGAAGTCTGGAGTACAAGTGTGTTCTTTATTTTTTCTAATTTTAACATGATATTTTTCATAAATGTGGCAAAATGTTCCAATTCCATTTCTTCCTATTACAAAATTGTACTTTAAAAAATCAATCTAATTATAGCAATGTTATCCAAATAGTAATCAATATTCACTGTTGTAATTTGATGTATTTCTCAAAGTACAATGATTGATAAGAAATTAATTGAAAGTACAATGTTATAACTTGGGTAGATTTTTAGAAGTAGGATTAATAAGAAAAATTAGAAAGTATAATGTTCTAACAGAAGTAAATAAAAGTAGGATTCTTTAACAAAATGAATTTATACTCCCCCCTCCCCAATATTAATTGTTCATGCTCCGCCCCTGCACTTGTTTAAGTTTATTCAAGATTCAAAGTAGACTGTCATTTAGGGGCGAAACCCCTAAACGAACGGGGGTCCGGGGGCAGCACCCCTGGGAGCGGGGTCTAAGGGGCGGCAACCCCTGGCTGGGGAGTTATATTGCTATATAAAAAATGCCTTAGAAATCTGAATTTTCTGTAAATGAACCCGATTTTTGACTTCATTTTGACCTTTATTAATGATCCCGTTTTAGTGACTGTTATTGGTTTTGACAGTTGGAGTAGTTTTTTGGACAAAGAAAACTGCCTTGACAGTTTTCAGACAAATGAACTACTTAATCATTTTGGTCATCATTTTTCCTGGTACAACAAAAATCACGTTATTCATAACGACCATATTTCTGTTCTTGCTCTCAATTATGAGTCTTATCCGATTAAAGATTGGGAGTACCACCCAAATACTTTAATCTGAAAGTGAAACCACAATTCTCAGAATTTCAAAGCCTTTCTATACCCCAAATTCTTACAGAGAAGAAGATGGGGAAGAAATGAGATAAAACTTTTTAGCCATAATATTTTCAGCTCCATCACCTTCATGACGTTCCTCGTTTGAAACAACAAAACCCACAAAAGCTTCACAAGAATGATCTTCAGCCAAGATGGGTTTGAATTTCAGATCCAAATACATATCTAAATGGGTTCTCGATTTATGAAGTGTTTGAGTTTCAGATCTGAATACATGTTTTGGGGTTTGAATGTTGATATTTAATAATTAGATTTAGGGTTCATCAATGGTGGTGGTGGAGATTGAGATTGAGGGTGAGCGATGGTGGTTTTTTGAGGGTTAAAAGAAGAAAGAAGAAAATATATTTTCCAGTAAATTAAAAAGAGAGAGATAAAGAGAGGGACTATTTTATTTTCTAAAAACTATAATTAATAACTATTCGTGTAAGAAAAAACAAATCAAATGACGGTTCGAATTAATCTTTAAAAATAGGGAATAAACATGTGTTTTGACACATACACGAGGGATGATCGTGTAATTTACCCTAAATGATTTTTATATCAATAAAAAATTCTCTTGATTTCCAAATTTACCCCTCCACAAAAGACTTATTACAGAAGGCCCAAAGGGTTCTCCCTCCTGACCTCTAAAGTGCAAAACCCCAACCTACATCCCCAAAAACCTCTTTACTCGACCAAATGTTGCCGGCGTCTCATTTCGTCTCTCATGGCGTTCCCGGTAAGCTTCTTATCCGTTGTCATTTTTCACTTCTGTCTCCGAACTTCTCCTCCACCGGTACATACTGAATTTGTGTATATGGTCGTTCGCTCTACTTTCTCTATGTAATTTCTACTTTTCACTAGGGCATAAATCTCTCTTTTTTCATGAAGTTTTTATATTTTCTGTATAATTTTTCTTTCTAGTGTATCAGAGAGGTTATTCATTCCATTATACGATTTCATGGGTTTTAGGATGATTTAGTGTGCCCTGTTATTACGTGTTTGTATGTCGTCTGTTCAATGAAATGACTAAATGAAATTGCGATCTGAACTTAGGTTCAACCGTATCCAGTGATGTCTGCAGTGTCTGTAGCAAGTATTTTCTTGCATCATGTGCTTGCTTTAGCGGAAATTCTTAAACCCTCGTCCGAGTCACTTTGAGTATTTGATGTTAAAGTAGTACTTTCTGAACACAAAATCGCTGTACAAGACCATCAATTTTCAATATATAACACTTCTTCCGAAGTTAAACATTCATTGTACTTTATCAATTTTCTCAAAGGACCAAAAACTCATGAGAATTATAAAGTTGTTAATTGCTATGTTCTTTCCTGTCATTGGGTGTTTGTATGCCAACTGTTCGATGAAATGACTAAATGAAATTACAAGTTGAATCACATGTAGACAATCCTTTTGTAGGTTGAATTCTAAGAATATGTTATGTATATTCTATATGGTTTATCCTCAGGTCATGGAGCTTCAGATGGCAGGTGCTTAAGGTTATCCACAATATCACCATGTCCCTCTTGTAAAGACTATATAAAGTTCCCACAGGTGAAGGTTCTACCTTCTGGATATACTTCCAGGGGTACAATCTCTTTCATTTGCAATGCAAATTCTAGTGGTCAAAGAAGAAACCCAGACTTTTCAAGACAAAACCGACAAGGGTATTCAAGAAACAAGAACAGGAATACCGAAGACCGAGATGGAATCGATGGATTCGAAGATTCCGAACCTTTCACTTCAAAAAACGGACCCTCATTCCTTTCCAACTCTTCATCTCCTTCCCCCAAATTCCATTCCACTGCAACTCCTGGACCAAGGGAAAGAGAAATCGTGGAAATTTTCAGAAAAGTCCAAGCCCAACTCCGGGAACGAGCTGCACAAAAGGAAGAGAAAAAGGTGGAAGATTCACAATCACAAGGACACAATAAACAGAACGAAACTGTGGATTCCCTTCTTAAACTCTTGAGAAAACACTCTGTTCAACATGGAAAAAGCAGCAGCACAAACAACAGCAGAAACAATAGGGATTTCGTTCTAGACCACAATCCTGATCATAATAACACTTCATTTTCAGAATATAAAAACCTAAAAGACTTGAATTCTGAAACCAGTGTGATCCAATCTTTCAGACCAGCATCAAACTTCCAACGAAGGTCTCCAGTTCCAAAGTTCAAATACAGGCCAATTTTATCGGGTCAAGAAACGGAAGAAGCCATAAACGAGCCCGACCCGATACCTGAAAACAAAATGGAAACCGGGCCTGAGCCCGAGGTTGAAAGTGAGGTGGTGTATGGTATTGGTGGGTTTGATGAAAGTTCAGATGATGAAGCTTCTGATATTGAAGACACTGCTGATGAGATTGATGATGATGATGATGATGATGATGATAACGAAGAAGTGAATGTGATTGAAGATAGTGATTTGAGTAGCATGAAGTTGGTGGAGCTAAGAGCAGTGGCTAAATCTAGAGGCATAAAGGGGATGTCAAGGCTGAAGAAACAGGAATTACTGGAGTTGTTGAGTAGTTGAGAGCTTATAATATTATTATGTTTATGATATCATATACTATAGAATTTGAGTCGTTCTTTGTTTAAATTTTCATCTTCACAGTACGTGTGCTGAGTTGGGTTTGTCTACTATCAATTAATTTTTTTGGGATATTATTGATAGTTAATGAAAATATGTTATTGGAAAGTGTGTTTTAAACACGTACAATTTGGTTTATTTCACATATGGAGTGCATACCGTTGATATAAACATAATATAAGGCTGTAAGGCTAAGGGAGTTGTCACCACCAACCCACTAGAGAAATGTTTATCTATGCGCCACGTCATCTTCATCCTTTTCACTACCAAACCATTGACTCTACAAACATTCTTCTTTATTCATATGTAACCAATGAAAATAAAGATTTTATTTTTTTCATTTTTATTTTAACCTACAAAAAACAAATGGTCAAAACAGGTTAGCCAATGAAATCTCTTGTCTTCGTCCGTCAGCACCACTCCAACCCACTCCATAGCCAGGGGGTGGTGTTTACTAGTGGGTAGCCTAAAGATTGGTTAGCCTAAGGATTGGTTTAGAATGTGTTTATTTTAAAAGACAAAACTGCAAAATTGGTCCTTGTGGTTATGCAAAAACTGTGGATAGAGTCCAAAAAGTTTCCGACTTACATGGAAGATCCAAAATCAGGAATTTCCCGTGGTTTTGGTCCCTGGATGAATTGAAAGGACATTTTTGCCCTTTTAGTTCCTTTTTCCATTTTCTTATATTGATTAATTAAGTTTTATAATTCAAAAAAAAATGGGCCCACCTTACACCCATTATACCAGATTGATGGAATGATAATAGTTTTCGATTGATGGAATGATACTAGTTTTCGATTTGAAGGTCTCCAATGGTTTCGATGGAGATGCTCTCAGAAAGTTTCGATCTTGAAAGATTTCGATCGTATTTGATTTCATGAAGTACATCCATCGATCGGGGTAATGGTGGTTTAATTTAATTGATTATCGATGTAATATTGCTTTTACCGGTTAACAAAATCAAATAAGAATCGGGGATATTTCAAAACTTATGTCAACAACTGAGAAAAAATTTATTGGGTGGGGAGGAGCCATAATCGACGAATTTGCCGGTGATGTTTTGGTATGTGTTTGAGTTATATGTGTGCGTGTTTTTTTTTGTTGAGTTACGGTTGTGTGTGTGTTTGACTTACAGGGGAAAGGGAAGAAGACGATGGACGGGAAGTGGGTTTTAAAGGTTTTCAGGTGAGTGTGTGTGTGTGTGAGAGACACAGAGAGATAGGGAGGGTACCATTGTGGTGGGTGGGCCGTTATCTTGTTTTTCTTTTATTTTTAAATGAGCAAATTATTAAAATAAATATAAAAATGCAAAAAAGAAATATAGAAGGGCAAAATTGTCATTTCAACTTTACTAGGGACCAAAACCACGGAAAATACTTGATTTTGGACCTTTTATGCAAGTCGGAAACTTTTTGAACTCTATCCACAATTTTTGCATAACCACAGGGACCAATTTTGCAGTTTTGTCATTTTAAAAAGTGGGTTGATTTCATAACATCCCTACTAATACTTACTCTATTTAGGAAAATATCCATAGCTCCACATTCCCTAAATATTTGTATTTTTTTATTTTTTTAGATACTCAATTTTAATAAAAATACAAGATTTTTAAAACAAAACTAAAATTTCATTAAACCAAATTAAAAGTACATTACTAAAAGTGAAAATAAAATTTTCATTAAAAAACTTAAAAAAACATTAAATAAAAAATAATATCACATTTAAATTAAAAATTACAGTAAAACCTAAAAATTAAAAATATTTATATTTGTCTTTCATCTTGTGTTGGAGCTTCTTGAAAAGTTTAAGTTGATCGAATGGAAGATCCGGATGAGACGACGTGTTTTCAAGTCCTTGAATGCGGTTTTGTACTATAACATTTTTTTTTGAAGCCAAGATGATCATCAGGTTTTTTCGAAAGCATTTGAATGGAGTTTGGTTCTGCTTCAACGATTTTTTTTTTCTTTTGTCGCTTGTCAATGAAGATGCCGTCTTTTTCGCCTTGTCCCTTCCCATTGGGCGTAGAAGGGTGACCTCTTCCGGCTCCTCATTATCTTCATTGAGGTCAATTCCCAAACCCACTTCTGATTCTGAAGTTCTCACTCGTTTGTTGGAGTGTCGGGGTTTATTGGTATTCATATGTATAATTTAGAGGGTATAAAAAAATTGTTTCAAATGGTCATATTTAAAACGGTCACAATATCGCTTGTTTCTCTTTCCCTTGTAGCTGAGCGTAGCCACAATCACGAGAAGTCACATTTACGCAATATGGGGTGGTGTTGGAATGCAACTTATGCGTGAATTGGGCTTCCAAATCAGCTCATGCGGGAGTTTCCCTCACCATTCTGTATAGCCTAATGGTCATTTATATGCCAACATCAACTAAACATGGTGCGTGGACTACCACTGCCACTTCCCAGCTAAAAATGGTTATGATGATTTGACAATGTTGGCTATATACAATATGACCTCATCTCAAAATTTCTTTAGAAAATTGGTATTAGTTTAGACAAATTTAAAACATAAAATGATTTTAATGGAGAAAATATAATATAATGAGTTTATTTTATTTTATTTTGGATCGGGAAATGTTATGTAGGGTTTCTTTATAAGGTTTTCACATTCTTAAACTCCACAACGATATAATTTGAAACACCAAGCAATGAGTTTATACCATTTCCTGGTTACGTTGTTGTTGGTTAGTACAATCTAGAGTTCAACACCAATCTCTTTCTCGAGTTACTAACATTTAAGAGTATATATATATATATATATATATATATATATATATATATATATATATATATATATATATATATATATATATATATATAGAGGTAAGTTCAATTGAGAAAATAAAAAAGGTTGAGAATGGGGGAATCGTTCTCAGCCACTCATTTATTTTTGCCGCAAAAGCCTTTGTTATACCAGCGAAAATGGATAAGGAATACACATGTGTTTCCAACAAAACATGTTTCCTTAAACTATGCTAATCATTACCTTAATATATACAAAAACATAGTTTTTTTTTGTTTTTTTATTTTTTAAGAAGTTATTTATATCGAAAAATGATTTTAAATATACCAAAATTTATGATTTTTTATTCTCTACAAATAGACATCCATATTGATATACTTTTAAGATAAAATAATTTTTTTTTATATTTTAAGCTATCGTTATTCATAAGTGAATAAAAATGCATCAAATTTTTGCTACAGTACATTCGTTATTCACTTATGAATAAAAATATATAATTAATTTTTTTTACAGTTTAAGTATCATTTATACTATTTATTCATATATGAATAACAAATTAACTGTAACAAAAATCTGATAAATGTTTTATTCATATATGAATATAAAATATGACGACAACTAATACACGTTTTATTCATATATAAATAATATGATGAAAGATGATGTAAAAAATATTTTTAAGTAAGAAACTTTATTGCGTGTCATATTCATATATGAACGGTACTTAAACTATAAAAAAAGTTACGCATACGTTTTATTCATAAGTGAATAACGAATATACTGTAATAAAAATCTGATAGATTTTTTTATTCACTTATGAATAACGAGAGCTGAAACTCTAAAAAATAAATTTTTTATTTTATCTTAAAAGTATATCAATATGGATGTCTATTTATAGAGAATAAAAAATTATGAATTTTGATATATTTAAAATAATTTTTCGATAATAATGGCTTTCTAAAAATAAAAAAACGAAAAAAATATATTTTTGTGTATATTAAGGTAATGATTAGCATAGTTTAAGGAAACATGTTTGGTTGGAAAACCCATGTTTATCCGTTATCCATTTCTGACGGTACGCCTAAGTGTTTTGCGGCAAAATAAATGTGTGGCTGAGAATGATTCCCCCATTCTCAACCTTTTTTTTTTCTCAATTGAACCCTCCTCTATATATATATATATAATATATATATATATATATTATATATATATATATATATGAGAGAGAGAGAGAGAGAGAGAGAGAGAGAGCGCTAGGTTCAAATGTGGATGTGAAGACATGTAGACAGTACTATTCTGTGAGAATGACAAAGAAAATATGTTGTTTGATAATATGAATACGATTAATCTTACATAAATATTGTCATTATCACACGTTCTTACTAATTAAATCGTCTATGAGGTTATTATAGACTTTTTATAATTATTCTCAATCTGTCAGAATGTTTATTGGGTCGTATTCTGTAAGAATGAATATAAGTGAAAAACGATGTGTGAGAACAAAAATGAATAAGAATTAGTGAGTGAATGAAAATGACGATAATTGTGTGAGGTTGAACGTATTCGCATTACTAAACAACTTATTATCTTAGTAATTATCATAGAATAGCACTGTCCACACGTCCGCACAATAGTTGTTCATCCACATTATAACATAGCACTATATATATATATATATATATATATATATATATATATATATATATATATATATATATATATATATATATAGTTCCCTTAAGATTAAAAAAATTAAAGATTTGATTTTTTTTATTAATATATGATTACTCGATAATTATATTTGAATAATTAAAAAAAGATATATTTAATTAATGATATATGATTTAATAAAAACGAATAGACATATTCATATATGAAATGATTATCTTACAATGAATCTATGGTGACATGATCTTTTTTCTTTTCTTATTATGATTGAAAATTTCAATTCATATAGGAATGTCGCCTATTTTGAAACAATTGTTTAAATAATATGGGCGTGTTTAAATATTATGGATTTTGATTGTCATTGTGTTTTGGTTTAGTTGTTTTCGTGATATGATTCTGAGCTTCATAGGTTTTACATTTTCACTCGGAAGGACACCGATCCAAGACTTAGAAGCCATACTTCAACATGACCGTAATATCCTTAACTCATGACTCCACTATTTATGGCCGTTGAGATGATCAGTTTGTCGCAAAACATGTTTGGACTTTTTTGGTGGAATAAAATACATTGTAGAGAGCTCCTGAGATTCAAGTACCAACACAATATTGTTAGGGATGTTCTCTTTGACATATTTAGATGTACCAAG